CTGCATTTGGGCGCCTGCAAGTGGACGAGCTGATGCCCCCCGGGCTACTGAGGCAAAGTGTTGGGGTTAGCTGACCTTGGATCCGCCTAGGACCCTCCCAAGCAGGGTGCGAAATGCCCACGGCGAGTTTGATGGTGGTGTGATGGGATCGTGCAATGCTCTTCACGGGAACGCCACATGGGAAGGTTCCTAGTTCAAGCCTGGAGACCTCCCTGAGCTGCTGGCATGTGCCTGTCTGGATCAGGGAAGGCGGGCGGAGCCCTGCAGCATCAGGACTCTGATGGGGTGCTGTCTATCTCTGCCCCTCTCCCTCATGGAAGAAATAAATACATAAACACAGTCGGCCATGGAATGTGGGCATGGGTGTGGGGGATTAGGGTGCTAGACTCTGAAAACACCTCTCATCTGGGATGCTTGGTGAGGCCAGAGGCCCTTTCTGGGAAGTGGGGGCGGCAGAAGGGAAGCTTCTGGAAACCAGTGGTAACCAGGAAAGAGCAGGGTCCAGGTGCAGGAGAGTAGCCATGGAGGGGTTGCATTCCATCCCCAACTGAAACTTTTAGTCCCATGTCTGACAGAAGGCCTTTGGGGGTCTTAGTCTACACTTGCCCTGAACCCCAGTGATATGCAAGTCCTGAGGTTCCTCTGGGGAAGAGGAGACCCCAAGGCGCTTGGCTAGAGGGGGTATGGCCAGGGTGGAGCAGGTGTGGGATCCCAGGTTTGCAGGGGGTTCACCTCATCTCCTAAAGACAAGATAGGGAGATGATAGGACTCGGGGGTCAGCGGGTCCCTCCACCACCAGTGCTCATGGCCCCTTGAGGAACTGGCCCGCTCTGCTCACTCTGCCATGAGATCGGGGCTCACTGCCTCTCAGACACCCACTCCCTTCAGAACGGGTCAGCTGTTTGGAGGCTTGTCTGTCTGCTGACGCTCCTGGACTCTCCTGCAGAGGTCCTGGAATCCCCCCGGAAGGTCCCTCTTTGGCTGGGCCTCCAACCCCCAGGGCACTTAATAAAACCTAAGTGCCCCCCACCCCCACCCCGATCCCTGGAGCTGAAGGCTTGGACCAGCCTGAGATACTCTTTCTCAGGCTGGAAGGGTAGGCCACAGCCCTGGCCGTGGTCGGAGTGGCTGCGGGGCAGGCTGCAGCCCCGTACCCAGCCCGTCTTCCCTGTAGACGTGGCGCCACTTTGCTGCCCTGGTCCACGTGACCTGCCATGACACCCGGGCCTCTCTGTAAGACATGCTGGCCAGCTCAGCACCTGGGGACAGGAATGTGGATGACCCTGCAGGGAAGTTGCCAGGGCGGGGCCTTCACTCCGGAAACCCCGCATGGTCCCCTCTCCCGGAAGCTCCAAGCGCAGTGGCTGGGGTGAAAATGAAAGCAATGATCTGCTAGTTTCTGGGCACTGTGAAAGGCTTTGCCCTTGCTGTCCACTTGACTGCTCATTCGCCATGAGAGGGGACAGAGGCATACACTTTACAGGGGCAGAAACTGAAGCACAGAGAGGCTGGTAACATGGGCAGTAACACGGGAGCCTGTGTATCTAACCCGGTTCCAAGGGATTCTGACTCTCTGTTCAAGGAGCCCTCCAGGAGCTTGGCGGTGTCAGTCCAGCGGTTCTCAAAGGTGTGTGACTGGGAACCCTTCTGGGCAGAAGCTTGCTTAGCTCTCGGGGCTGAAGAGCACACTTTGGGAACACAACAAGGAGAACTCCTTGGTGTCCCTGGTTTGTGCGGCTGCCACAGTGCATGCAGAGGACAGGGTCATCGATGCCTCCTCGGCTCACCTGTGGAGGCTGGGGTGGGGAGGAGAAGGATGCTGATATGGCCGCGGGCTTCCTTCTCATGTCCTGGGTGGACCGAGTGAGCCGTGGGCCATCGTGCTGAGAAGCATGTCGACTCACCCGTCACATCCTGCTGCCCTCTGGGAAGCTGAAGGTGTGGGGGCGACTGCTAGCCACGGCCCAGGCAGGTGAGGTGCCAGAACTGGTTACCTGCCCAGGTGAGGAAGGCTGACAGAGGTGGGGGTCTGGGAAGGGCCTCTCCTAATGCAGCACCTGAGCTGAACCTTCAAGGGCCTTTATGGGGCGGGCGAGCAGGCGAACAAGCAGAAGACGGACTGGAGCCGGAGGCAGGGCACAGCCTGCCCCAGGTTGTATGCGGTATGGCCAGAGACTGGGCCTGCGGGGCGGGGCTGAGATGGGGCTGGACAAGGGGTAGCCCAGGTGGGGTCCTGTGCTTATGGGAGAAGCAGAGCCTTCCAGAGGGAGGCACAGTGAGACTCGCCTTGCTGCCCTGCCTTGGGCAGTGTGCCAGGCCCCATCCCTCGCTCTGCGTGGGAACCGAGGGGCTGGCTGGCTTGGGAGATACCAGGTCTCCCCCGCCCCCTGCCAGCAGCTGGCTGGGCAACTTCCTGTAGAGCAGAGGGACCCACCTCATTCACCAGGGTCTGCCCGAGGACTACTCCCTGGCCTCTGCTTCCCAGCCCCACCCGGGGCAGGCCCACCCCACCCCTCACGCCGGCCCCAGCACCTAGCAGGCCATAGTACGTAGTACCTAGGGAGTGCCTCCTGACTGCCTGGCTGGGCGTCTTCTAGAAAGATCCAAGGACGGATCACAGGTGAGCAGAGTGGGGCAGCCCTTCTCAGCACCTGTATGTGCTGGACCCGAGGGAGAAGTCGGAAAAACAGACCTGGTTCTCCCTGGGGTCACACCGTGTGTGCTCTTTGGGGTGATTTTCCATGGTCAGCTCCTGCCCTGGTGGGATGGGAGGTGAGGACTGAGGAGAAGAGGACAAGGGGTGACAGGGATTGGGAAGATGCCTGTGGGGCCAGAGTGCACCGTATTACCCCAGCCGGGCCAACTGTCACCCAGACACGTGCACAGACAACTTTGCTTCCTTAGAATAAGGGAAGTCCATGAACCCCCAGCCAGACGTGACATCGGATCCAGGTAACAAGCCCCATCATGTTTAATGTATTAGGAGCTGCTCCTGTTCTCAGGGAAAGCGTCCCACCCACCTTTGGGGTGTGAGAAGACAGGCAGAGTCGTGAATGCAGGGGGCATGGCTGGGGTGAGGGGCATCTGGGATGAGCCCAGGCGGGTGTTCACTGGGTCGAGGATAAGCACACGGCCCCCAATACCTGTACACTTCCACCCTTATCTGGGTGCCCACATGGTTGCCGGAGCCTCTACGGGATAATCCGCAGCTCCTATTAACACATGTCCGTGTGGAGACCCTCTCGGAGTCTGCGTTGAGCTGCCAGTCGGCCCCGCATGGCTGGTTCCCCGCACCTCTGGTGTCAGCAGCTCGAGTCCCCCCTCCCCGGGGCCTGTGAGACTAGGTCAGAGGTCCCTCCTCCTCCCTGCAGCAGAATCATCACCGCGATGGTGGCCGAGGAGACGTATGAACCCCAGAGTCTCTGCCTTGCCTGTGGCCACCTGTGTGCCCGCGGACCGCAGCAGCAGCACTGACCCTCAATGGGAGGGCTGGCGGACGAGCGTGGGCAGCGGAGACTGCGAATGCCACAGCCGAGAGTCCAGAGCCGAGACGACTGTAAAAGTTAAATCTTTCTATTTATTTCAAGAAAGGACAAGGCAAGTGGACTTGGACATTTTATATGAAAACAGACGAACAGAAAATAGGACGAGTAGTTCATCACATTCATCTCAACGTTGAAGTTTCAAGGCACCTACTAGGGAGGCCAAGGGCGGCTCGCAGTGCACTTTGGTTTGTGTTGTCGTCGTGGTGGTGGGCGTTTGTGTGTCTCGGATTTCCACAAACCCCTGTCTGGTGGTGAGGTTGGGAGTGAGGCAGGTGGGCATGAGGCCAGGCCAGGCCAGGCCGGGCCGGGCCAGCCAGCCAGGTCTCAGAGGGCAGCAGGGCAGCGGCCAGAGGGCCCCGTCACTCTCAGATCCCCGAGACTGCTTTGACCTTCAGGGAAAAAGAAAAAAAGACCAGGCATATGGGGCCGGGTGGCCCCAGGGGGCTGATTCTGCAGGTGAAGAAGACCATGGGGCTTGGGAAACTGGGGTGCCAGGGCAAGGGTCCTTCAGACAGCATAAACGACCTAGTCACAGGCTTGGGAGAGACAAGACCCCCACTGCCCTGTGCTTCAGGTGGGTGGTCTCGGGACACGCCATACGTCTCCTGCCCAGGGCAGGTGAAGAGGCTGGGTAGCTTCCTTCTAGAACCCCAATCACCGGGTTCTGCCCAAAGACCCCTCCCTGACCTCTTCCTCCTCAGACCACTGGAAGGGCTTCCACTGAGCATGCTCCCCCAGCATGCCTTACGATACCAAATGAGACGAATAATCTTTGAGTATCAAGAAAGGGGATTGCTGTTGGTGACGCTTGAAACACTGACTGTGCAGTGCGCCCGCAGTGGGGGCGCTTCCTTTCCGTTTTCCTTCATCGTCTGCCTCCCTGCTCACACCTGCCTCCCACTCAGCTGCATAGACAAGTCTCCCCCTCTCCGGGCTGGCCTGTGCTTACAACCCTGCAGCCTCCTGAACCATCGGCACCATCTCTTCCCCCCTTTCTCCCTCTCAGATGACAAGCCTCAAATGCTGGGCTGTGCCCTCCCCCTCCACCTCTCAGCCTCTCTTGATGAGCTGGGAGGTACCAGCATTCTAGTTCCTTTGCCACCTGTCCTGGACGCCCTTGGGGGCTTCTCAGCTCAGGCCCCTGGGCTGCTGGCAGGTGACTGTCGGGGTTAGGGGACAGAAGTGTAAGGCTACCTTCAGGTTTCCTGTGTGTGTCTCCCCTGTGTACTCAGGACCTTTCTAAAGTGGGGCGAGCGGGTGGAGGTGAGTGGTCTCGGCACTCTTCGCATGTCTGCTGTCCAGGGCAGGTGAGAGGTGCCCGGAGCCATGGCTCCAGGGGTGGGACTCTGATTGTCGTGCATGGCGCATTCCTTGGTCTCTCCTTGAGGAGAAAACCTGGTCAGTCCCTTCAGGTGGGTGGCTCAGGGTAGCTGCCGTGTCTTGGTGGACCCTCCTTCAGCTGTCCGGCCCCTTGTCATCCACTCTAGGCAAGGCTTGGAGAGAGGAAACGGAGTCACTCGCTTGGGCAGAGGCCAGTGCTGGGACCTCAGAGTGGCGGTGTTTCGCCATCCGCAGGTTCACGGCTGGAGATCGGTGTGTCACAGCTGAGCAGAGCTCAGGGGGCTTCCAAGAAAAAGAGCTGCTGAGACGAGTCCCCCTCTGGGCCAGGCTGGCGTGGCAGGTGCGGGATGAGAGCCCGTTTGTTGCCCAATGGGTGGGCAGGCGGCAGGCGGGGAGGACAGGAGGTTACGGAGTGAGAGGAGGCAGGGGCCGCTTCCGCTTGCTGGAGAAGAAAGGACTGAGTGTCCCCATGCGCCGGGGCTGTGCTGGGCCTAGTAACCTGGGAGGGCCGGGCGCTGACTGTGCATGTCCCATGGACAGGCGCCGAGACCTGGCATCTCACCCCAGGGACCATCCACCCTGACGACCATAAAAGAGATTTAGGGCTGGTAGCAGCAAAGACCTTCCTACAAGGACTCTCTGGACTCAGCCTTTTGAGCTCTGGAAGGAGGGGTGGGTGAGTGAGGGAAGGACAGACAGGGATGTTGCACCACTTGGAAGGCTACAGCACCCGCGGGGCTGGCCTTTTAGGGCGTGGAGGTGGTCAGCAGGCCCAGAGCCCCCTGTGCCCACAGCATGCCCCTACTCCACTCCTGAGCCCTCTGTCAGCATGGCAGGTCACTGTCCTTGTTCCCTCCAGGCACAGGCTGGGCATTTGTGACAAGGCATGGGAGGGGACAGAGGCAGTGGTCTCAAAGAGCCTCGGGTGTGGAACTAGCAGCAGGGGCTGTCTTCAAGCTAAAGAGCCATGCTGGGCATGGTAAGTCCAGGAACAAGTGGAGAAGGGGCAAGGCTTTGCCCCTGTGGCATTGGGGGTCTCTGGGTACACCTGCAAATCCCATTCCTGACAAAAAGTGGGTCCAACTTCAGCGATAATGGAATTTCCAAAACCAGAGAAAAACCACGTATAAAAAACACCGAGGGAGGGAAGGAAATAAAGGAGGGAGGATGGAAAGCTAAGAGAATCTTTTTGTGAGTTTTTTTTTTTTTTTTTTTTTTTTTTTTTTAAAACAAAATTGGGTTTTTTGG